TACTTTTACTTTACTTTTACAGTTCAATATTATCCAGACTAGCTATGTGCTGAATGTGTCAGGGTTCATACTTCACATGAGAGATCAATGAATGGTTTCTGGACCCATACCATGGGGAAGGAAGTGTCAGGCTGGGAAAGGGAGCGGAGGCATGTTTCCCATAATGTAGAAGTGGTCGGGAGCCATTACAGCTGCCTGAATCACTTTCAAATCATAGCTGACAGACAGAAGTGAAAATGCTGGAGATGCTGCGAACATAAAAATTACATTGGTGGCAGTAAAAGGATAAATAGACCCTGTCACGTCCTAAACAAACTCAACTCAGCATTCAACATTTCCTGGGGTGTCAGATGCCTGTGTTACCTACTGCATGCTGTGGTTTCATCCTCACACATCTACATCTTTACAGGCGCAGTAATGATGTAGTAGTCAGATAGGCCACAATACTTGATGTGCAGAATCCTAAAGAATCTGATGAAAGCTGTAGCATTGTAAAGGAGGGAACAGAGGAGACATTGGCCACTAGAAAGGTAAGCACAATACCTCTTCTTTCGCAATGACTTGCTATTAAGATTTTATGACAACTGTAGGGTAACTTTAACTTACACGGTGAAAGAGTTTCCAATTTGTTGAAGCAGAAAATCCTATGGGAAGCTGCATTGTATTAAAGAATATGTAAACCGTAACTTTTAATTACGATTTAGCACTTTTCATACATGTCATCCTTTAGTGCTTTAGTGATCAGTGCTGCTTATCCCATATAGCCTCTCTGCAGACACTTTGGCCCTTTTGTACTAAGAATTGAGTTTACTAGCAGACGCTGAACATTCAGGCAGACTCAATTCAATCAATCTAGACCTGTCAGTCATCAGAAAGGTGTCTAGCAAGCTCATTGAATAGAGTCTACTTTGTAGACTCTTTCCTGTTAGTAAATCTGGAATCACGTCAGGCACATTTCTAGATGCAATGCCGGATATGTGCACTAGGTGGCGCACAACCGCGGGCTTTGTCCTGTTGGCGTTTTCCTGTTTGGATATGAGAATACTTATAATTTAACCACTAGCCTACAGGGCACTTATACCCCCTACCTGCCCAGGCCAATTTCCAGCTTTCAGCGCTGTTGCACTTTAAAAGACAATTGCGTGGTCATGCAACATTGTACCCATATGAAATTTTTATCATTTTTTTGTGACAGATAGAGCTTTATTTTGGTGGTATTTAATCACCTTTGGGTTTTTTTTATTTTTTCTTAAACAAACCAAAAACCACTGAAAATTTTGAAAAAAAAAACGTTTTTTCTTAGTTTTTGTTATAAAATTTTGTAAATAAGTATTTTTTTCTCCTTCACTGATGTGTGCTAATGAGGCTGCAGTGATGGGCACTGATAGGCTGCACTGATGGACACTGATAGGTGGCACTGATGGGCACTGATGAGGACGCACTGGTAGGTGGCACTGATGGGCACTGATGAGGACGCACTGGTAGGTGGCACTGATGGGCATTGACAGGCATCACTGATGGGCACTGAAAGGCAGCACTCATATATGGCACTGATAGGCGGCACTGATAGGCGGCACTGATAGGCGGCACTGTTAGGTGGCACTGTCTGGCACTGTTAGGCGGCACTGATAGGCAGCACTGATGCACACTGATAGGCGGCACTGATAGGCGGCCCTGACTGGCATTGATAGGTGGCACTGATTGGTAGCACTGATAGGTGGCACTGACTGGCATTGACATGTGGCACTGACTGGCACTGATAGGTGACACTGAAAGGCAGCTCAGATGGGCACTATGTGGCATTAATGTGCACTGGTAGGCACTGATATGTGGTATTGATGTTAGTAGATCATTAGTGAGTTTTAGTAGGGCAGTTTCAGTGGAGTGGAGTGATCGAAAGCGAGACTGTAAAGGGTCAAAAAGTCTATGCATTGTTGAGGTTGCAGATTGTTCTTAGACTGATTCCTGGATTGTGCCTAGTAAATTCTCTTTCACTCACTCCGACGGGAATACCTTAGACCTTGTCTTCTCTCACCATTGTACTCCCTATAACCTCACAAACACCCCCTTTCCCCTCCCTGATCACAATCTCATCACCTTCACAGTCTCCTTGTCCTCTAACACCTATCCCACCAAACAGAAAACAATTGCCAGCAGAAATTTCCGAAACTTGAACCCGGTTCCCTTCCACTCTGCAACTGACCAACTCTACGACAGTATCAATCCCCTGTCCTGCCCTGACCTGGCCACTGCTGTCTACAACAATTCGCTTTCATCCGCTTTAGACTCGCTTGCTCCCCTAACAACACGAAGCATCAGGCCCCGACCGTTACAACCTTGGCAGACTGACCCCACCAGACATCTCAAATGACACAGTCGCACGCTGGAGTGAATATGGCGTAAAACCAAATCTCACCAAGCGTTCACCTGATATAAATCTGCCTTCTTAACATACACTTCCTCCCTTCACGCTGCTAAACAAGCCTACTTTGTCACTCTCATTAATACCTTCTCTTCCAGTCCTCATCAGCTCTTCTCTACTTTTAACTCTCTACTTTCTCTGCCTCCACTGCCACCTAGAACCTCACTCACTGCCCCCGAGATTGCAAACCACTTCAAAAACAAGATTGACGCAATTCGTAGGGACAATGCCACCACACAGACTTCCACTCCACTTAGCATTCCTCATACTAAACCTCCCTCAACACTTTCCTCTTTTGACCTCGCTACTACTAGTGAAGAGGTCACTAAGGTTTTCTCAGAAGCCTGCCTCACCACCTGCCCCCTGGACCCTGTCCCCTCACAACTCCTTTGGGCACCCTCCTCTTCCATCCTATGCTCCATCACTCACATCTTCAATCTTTCCCTCTTTACAGGTGCCTTCCCCTCCCCTCTAAAACACGCGCACATCACTCCCATAATTAAAAAACCCTCCCTGGACCCCACCAACCTGAACGACCTTAGACCCATCTCCCTGCTGCCATTTACCTCTAAACTCCTAGAACGCTTAGTCTACAATCGCCTGAGCTCCCACCTCACCGACAACAACCTTCTCGACCCTTTACAGTCTAACTATTGCCTTCTACACTCCACTGAAACAGCCCTACTAAAACTCTCTAATGATCTACTAACTGCTAAAACCAATGGCCACTATTCAATACTCCTACTACTCGACCTCTCTGTGGATTTTGATACGGTTGACCATCCTCTCCTCTTCAAAAAAACTACACTCTCTTGGCCTCACAGACTCCGCTCTCTCTTGGTTCTTCTCCTATCTATCGCAGCGGTCCTTCAGTGTTACCTCTAACGCTGCCACCTCCTCTTCACTCCCTCTTTCTGTAGGGGTCCCTCAAGGTTCTGTCCTTGGATCCCTTCTCTTCTCCATCTACACCTCCTCCCTTGGCTTCAATTACCATCTCTATGCTGATGAATTGCAAATCTATCTTTCTACCCCTCACCTCACCCTTTCAGTCTCCACTCACATCACTAGCCTACTAAGTGACAGTGACATATCGGCTTGGATGTCACTCCACTTCCTCAAACTCAATCTTTCCAAAACTGAGCTCTTAGTATTCCACCCAGCCCGCGCCACCTCCACTGACTTCACCATAAATATCGATAACACAATCATCAGTCCATCCACTCATGCCAGGGTACTAGGTGTAATCCTAGACTCCCATCTGTCCTTCCAGCCCCAGATCCAATCGCTGACAAAATCTCCAAGATACGACCGTTCCTAACCCCAGAAACCACTAAGCAACTTATTTACTCCCTTGTCATATCACGCCTCGACTATTGTAACTCCCTCCTCATTGGCCTACCTCATCGCAGGCTATCCCCACTCCAGTCTATCATGAATGCCGCTGCCAGACTCATCCACCTTACTAACCGTTCTGTATCTGCCACCCCTCTCTGCCAATCCCTCCACTGGCTCCCAGTTACCCAACGGATAAAATTCAAAACACTAACAATGACATATAAAGCCGTCCACAACACTGCCCCAAATTACATAACCGATCTTGTCTCTAAATATCACCCAAACTTTACTCTCCGCTCCTCGCAAGACCTCCTACTTTCTAGCTCCCTTATCTCCTCCTCACATGCTCGTCTCCAGGACTTCTCCAGGGTGTCCCCCATCCTCTGGAACTCCCTACCCCAACCTATCAGACTATCGCATACTCCACTAACTTTTAGGCGATCACTGAAAACCTATCTCTTCAGGGAAGCCTATCCCGCCCTATGCTAATACTGGAATCCTCTGCTCTTCTACTCCTCTACTCTTCCAACCACTCCATCCCCCACAGTTATTACCTATTGTACCATTAACCCCTGCCTCCTAGATTGTAAGCTCCAAGAAGCAGGGCCCTCAAATCCCTCTTGTATTGAACTGTATTGTTACTGTATTGTCTCCCACTATAATGTAAAGTGCTGAGCAAACCGTTGGCGCTGTATAAATCCTGTATAATAATAATAATAATATTTCGCGTCTACTTGTTGACGCTTTCTTTAGTAAATGTCTTTGCCTTCTAAAAGTAGATTGTCGCTATTAAAACGTAGACGTTAGTCCACGGAATGTGCCTAGGCACATTAGTAAATCAGGGCCTTCATGTCTACATGCTTGTACTTCAGGAATGTTTGCATGACATTTCCCAGGCTAGGGTTCCTGATGGTGACAACAGCAGCTCATACCTAGGCAATGTGTTTTGAAATGGCCACTTGTAGTCTCTATATGAAGCTCATGTGATAGGGTGAGAATGCATTAGTACAATTTGGAGATAGGGACAGAACATTGTCACACTATAACAGGAAATGTCTGAACTAGGATCTTTTTTTTCCATAATACATTTTTATTGAAATTTTTTTAAGCAATACAAAACAATAAGAGACATCCACCAACTGTAAATGTTATTGTACAATAAACAGATTGGCAGACACAAAAACCTTGCACTTTAACCTCCCTGGCGGTATTTCCCAAGTGTACCTTGGGGTAAAGTTTCAGCACCACAAGTGGTAACCCCGAGCTACACTCGGGCTTACCATGCAACGCTGCTCCGGGATCTCTTCTTCACTTACCTTGTCCTGCGCTCCCTTGCAGTGTCCCCGGCAATGTCTTCCGACTGATGCCAGCATCTGTCTTCCGGGTTCTGTTCCCTGCGACGTCAGGACGTACGGGGACGGAACTGGCGGGAAATTTTAAAATTGTAGACGTGACATTCACTAAATTCACTAAAATCACATAGTAAAACATTATAGTATCAAACCATTTCACATACATTTTGTCCCTAGTGCTTTGTCCTGTGCCCTGCCTGCATTTTTACTGTTCTTTCTGCCTTGAAACTGAGAAAAGTCCATGGCGTCCAAAAAGCATCCCTTTAGGTCAAAAGCGGTTTTAGACCAGCTAGAGAACAGCGATAGTAAATTAGTAAACTACTTGCAGAATTGAGTGATAATGATTCATGTCGAAATTCGTCATCAGACACTGAAAACGATTTTGCGACTTTGTTCATTGATGTGCAAACTGGCGCTTTATTTCAAATGTTAGTGTTTTTGGCTTGATTTTATTATTGAATTTTCTGGAAGCAGTGGTACCAGGTGTATGCCCAGACCAATCAAGTTTCTTCAGAGGAAAATTTCATAAAATCTGTCGCTCCACTTCCTTAAATTGAACCTCTCCAAAACCAAGTTTCTTGTCTTCCCCCCAGCCTGGACACCACCCCCCATTGATTTCTCCGTCACATCCAACAACGCTACCATCAAACCCGCCCTGCAGGCCAGAGTACTGGGTGTCATTCTGGACTCCAACCTATCCTTCCAGCCCCAAGTCCAATCTTTAACAAACTCGTGCAGACTCCACCTCCGCAACATCGCCAAAATCCGCACGTTCCTAACCCCAGAAACCACTAAACAGCTCATCCACTCTCTCATCATATCACGACTCGACTACTGCAACTCCCTCCTCACTGGCCTGCCTCGCCGCTGGCTATCCCCGCTTCAGTCGATCCTGAATATGGCTGCCAGACTCATTCACCTTTCCAACCGCTCTGTCTCCGCCACCCCCCTCTGCCAATCCCTCCACTGGCTTCCGATTGCGCAACGGATCAAATTCAAAATCCTAACGCTGACGTACAAAGCTGTCCACCATACTTCCCCGAACTACATCACTGACCTAATATCCAAGTACCGCCCAGCACACGCACACTCCGCTCCTCACAAGACCTCCTTCTCTCTAGTTCCCTGGTCTCCTCCTCCCATGCCCGCCTCCAGGACTTCTCCAGGGTGTCACCCATCCTCTGGAACTCCCTGCCCCAACCCATCAGATTATCACCTACTCTCCTCTCCTTTAGGCGCACCCTGAAAACCCATCTCTTCAGGGAAGCCTACCCCACCCCCTGCTAACTTGCCGACCTCCTCCACTCCTCCTACCACTCCATCCCCCACAGCTATCTCCTCCTGTGCCACCATCCCCTCCCTCCTAGATTGTAAGCTCGAAAGAGCAGGGCCCTCGAACCCCTCGTGTATCACATTGTATTGGTATTGTTCTGTCACATGTTCTGTCCCCCTTTGTAATGTACAGCGCTGAGCGAACTATTGGCGCTTTATAAATACTGTATAATAATAATAATAATAATAATAAATTCAGGGTTAATCATTTATGGCAGATCCAGGTCCATGACAAAAGTTACCAGGCAGTCTTTCTCCAATATGAAGCCCATACCCAAGGCTTCCAGTGCCCTTTTGCAACTAGAGGGAGCACACAACAAAAAGACGAGTGAGGGGGTGACAGGACAAGGGATGAAGGGAAAAGTCCAGGGAAAAAGCATAAAGGAGGCTGGGAGAGTAAAGAGTCCTGGAAAGGGGAAGGGGAAAGGGGATAGGAGCTAAGAAAGGGGAGGGAGCGCAAAGGGAAAAGAACCAAGTCTGTCCCTCTCATCCGCAGCCCCAGCCCCCAGTTACTGTCTTGGAAACAAGAGGGAACAGGGTTGCCCATCCCACAGCCAAGATTCATAAAAGTACACACAACTACAGCCATATTGGCCAGACAACTGCACTCACAGGACAGATCCCTCCAGAAGTCTCCAGATACTAGTATTCATATCTGAAGCATATGATTTTTGTAGTCATCCATTGTTTTATAATAATGCTAGCATGCCCAGGTTTTAGAAAAGGCAGAAATTTTGTCTTGAACGGCATAGGCTAGCTCCTCCATCTCCTCCAGTCCACAATGCCAATAGGGATCAGGGGCTGTCAGAAATATTCTATGGAGCAGCGAGGGAACCACAACTGTATTTTATTGGCATTTTCCTGCATATGCACATTAAGTGTACCCTTATGGGCTAAAAAATGGTCTGTTCCTACTCCTCGTTGTCCAGGTGGCAACCCAAATCCTTCTTCCACACTGCACACGTCGTGTCTGACTTTGGAGAATGGGCCTCAAACAGCAAATGTATAAGTATATATCAGAGACATAATGCCTCTGAGATGAGGTCCTTGTATAAATCAATTCAAAGTGGGTCCAATCTCTGCAGAAAGTCCTTTTTATTGTCTGTCCCAGTCAGGAATTCTCAAATCTGTAAATACATCCAAATGGGCACTGTTGACTGGGGCACTCGACTACCCAACGCTTCGTTTGAGTTTTCCCCTATGAAAGAATTGGTAAGCACAAGGATGGTTAAATGGTCAAGCTGTATTTAAGAAGGGCCCAGTCATACCAAGCATGAACGCTGGGTTCAGTCTGAACAGTGTCAATGACTCTGGGAGTGAGGAGATCTGGTAGGAGGCACAGGCCCTTCGGAAGCATCACAAAAGGGGCCAGAATTAGAGGATGAGCAATTTTTAAAAGTTTACAATGTTCAGGCTTTAGCCGGACAGCAGACCATCTCATAATATACAAGAAGCAAGGAAGTACATTAATTTTCAATGCTGCCGCACATCCCAACCATGATAGTGTCTTAAAATCCCACTTCTTCAAGTAGTCCTAAATTCTTTGCACTAGCAAAGCATAATTTTGGAAATATAGTTGAGAGACATTGACAGAGAACTTGATCCCCAGATGAGTTGTTGCTTCCTCCTGCCAGGCAAAGGGGAAGTTACATTTAAATTGAGCCATGCCCTACCGGGTCAAGCTTATCAACTTAATTGCAGGGTTCGGCAGGTATTTGAGGAAAGCTACAGATTTGAAAAAACAAAATGTTATTTTTGAAATTTCCTAAGATGTTAAAGCTTATAAGCAATTTTAGTGATTAAGTTTACATATACTTTATTTCTGTATACAGAAGCTACAGTTTATACTTAAATTATTGTACTATACTGTATTATACTTATCAGTTGCAAATGAAGTGACCTTAAAAGGTTGTCTTGTTAAAAGATAAAAACCCATTAAAAGAAAAATGCATTGTATTATCAGCTTTGTGTTATTATTGTAACAGTTACCTTACAGTAATTTTTGATGAGACTTTAATATTTTAATTTACTTTATCACAAAGTGATCTGTATATCTTGGGATGTAATTAGCAATAATCTTAATACTTAAAGATTAATGTGATAAGCTCATTTACTCTGTTGTTTTCAGACCTGACTCGAACTTAAATGGAAACAAAGAAGCAATAAAGCTGGCCATAGACAGTATAAATTGATTTAGAAATACACCGAACTAGATGTAAAATTATAAGATGAAGTCACTTTTTGGCAGTGCCACTGTATCCAGGTAGTCACAGGTGCCCCGACTTCTGAATACAATAGCTGGCAGTGGACATTCCTCCATTCACACTGTTTAGATTTTTTCTCATTCAGCCAACAGTGTATGGATACCTTCAGCAACAATCTCTGACACTAATTTACTAAATAAATAAAATAGAGATTAAACCATTAGGGTACGCCTAAATTGTAGGCTGGCATCTGTCTACCTGATGTACATTGATGTTTAGTGCAACAAGTGCCACCCTAGTTTTCATGTGTGTTGGACATACAAATAATATTATCGTTTGTGACCTCTGCTCCTATAAGAGCTCTTTCAGACAGGTGCTTAGTCCTGCCCAGGGGCGGACTGACCATTTGGAAACTCGGGCACTGCCCGAGGGCCCGGGGTCAGTAGGGGGCCCCATGAGATGCCACTGGTACCTTTTTCATAGGCTTTGTTGAGTTTGGGCAAGGACACAGGGGCCCCATGATCCCCTATTGCCTGGGGGCCCCATGAGTTGTCAGTCCGCCCCTGGTCCTGCCCTCTGTGCAGGGCTGGTTTTTCTGCATCTGCTTTCACCTTGGGGTTGTGTGCAGGCAGCCCTTAGAAGTAGATACAGATTCAGACACAGTTGCATATCAAGACTTGACATGCAGGCAGGAGCAGATGCAAGGAACCAAACACAGGACTGTAGGGGAAATTTACTAAAATTGGAGTGTGAAAAATCTTGTGCAGCTCTGCATAGAAACAGATAAGCTTCCAGGTTTTATTGTCAAAGTTTAATTAAACAAGCTGAAATAAGAAGCTGATTGGCTACAGTGCACCGCTGCACCAGATTTTGAAGGCTCCATTCAACCCCTTCATTCCATTTTCCAAGTGTTTTTTTCAGGCGTTTTTAAGCAGATTTGCAAATTGTATAGGCGTTTTTGCTGTGGCCAATAGAAACCTGTGTAGATGTATCCAATGAAAAACCTGTTTAGATGTAACATCATATCCTGCCTCTGTTTCCTGACTGTGCTGATATTCTGTGCCTTTCACATGTGTGCAAAAATGTGCTTAATGGCATATGCAGCAGCATCTAAAGCTTTGTATTTGGAGGAAGAGGAGAGACGAAAAAAGCCAAGGTATTGGGACCATCCTATCCTTGCAAACCAGGAACAGTAAGGTCAATTCTGGGTGATGTACAATGATCTTTGTGAGCATGAGAAGTTGTTTCGAATATACACGGATGTCAGTGAAAATGTGAGTGCATCTCTTTATCTGGACAAAGTTGTTGCTCTAATCAGTTTATTAGGACGATTTCCATCATAAACAGCCATAGATGGATTGAATCTCAACTGGTCAATTGCCACCCGATAATTGATCCCTCTCTAGGCATGCCATCCCCCATCCACAACCACTGTCTTAATACATAAATTTACAAATTTTAGTTCTTGCAATCTTTGGTTGAGGGTAAAAAAAAAACAGTGCATGTCTTGCCTCACAAACACCCCTGTGCATGTTCATGTACCTGCTTCTCAAAGTTAGATGAATTTTTCACCAAAACTGACCAAGTGCTATGGAGTAATGGACTTGTATGATTCAATAAACTATTGCGTATAACATATTTTCTTTCTTTGCAGTTTGATGAATTACTTGAAATATTGTCTGC